ATAATAATAAATTTAAAAAATTTAAATATGGAAAAAAAAGAAAGCAGGTTGAGCAGAGGCCAGAGGAGCAAGTCAGTAAGCAGCATTCATCCATGGCCTGTGCTCCAGTTTCTGCCTCCAGGTTCCCGCCCTGAGTTCATACCTTGGGCTCCCTGATGAACTGTGACCCATGAGATGTAAGCCAAATAAACTCTTTCCTCCCCAAGTTGGTATTGGTCAGAATATTTTGTCACAGCAATGGAAAACAAACTAGAACACAGACAAAAACACCCATGCATATAAAATAAAAAATATATTTAAAACAAATATTAAAACAATACTCAAAAAATTAAGATTGAGGACCACTAGAGATGGCTCCCTTGTTAAGAGTGTTCTCTGCTCTTCAGAAGACTTGAGTTCAGTTCCCGGCACCCACCTGGTGGGGGGGTTTGTAACTCCACCTTCAGGGAACCCAGTGCCTCTGGCCTCCATGTTTCCATGGGCACTGTACCCATGTGTCTGCACATGTGCATGCACACACACACACACACACACACACAAAATAAAAAATAAGGAGTTGAAGAGATTGTTCACTGATTAAGGGTATGTACCGCTTTTGCAGAGTACCTGTGTTCAATTCCCAGCACCCATTTAGGTGGCTCACAACTTCCTGTAACTCTAACTCCAGGGGATCCAACACTTCTGCCTTCCACAGGCATTGGTACAGACCTACATACACATCATTTAAAATAATAAAATGTCAGGCTGGAGAGATGACTCAGTAATTAAGAGCACTGGCTGCTCTAGCAAAGGACTGGGATTCAGTTCCCAACACCCACATGGCAGCTAACAACCGTCCTTAACTCCAGTTGCAGGAGATCCAATGTCCTCTTCTGGCCTTGGGAGGACTGTATGACTGGGTGCACTTACATACATTCAGGCAAAACATTCATACATATAAAATAAATCAATAAATAAAAAGTTAAGAAAATAAATATTTAAAAATTTTTAGAAGCCAAGTAAAGTGGCACATGCCTGTAGTCCCAGCACTTGGGAGGCAGAGGCAAGCGGATGGATCTCTGTGAGTTCAAGGCCAGCCTGGTCTACATAAGTGAGTTCCAGGACAGCTGGGGCTACAGGGAGATCCTGTCTCAAAAAAAAAGATAAAAAAAATTTTTTTAGAAAACTAAAATTAGAAGGGATTTTTTTTCACTCATGCTAAGAATGGAACTAGGGTCTTGCATGTACTAAGCATGTGCTCTACTGCTGAACTACACTGCCAGCCCAAAATTTTTCTTTTCTTTCCTCTTCTTCTATGATCGGTTCTTGCTATGTAGCCCAGTTTGGCCTGTAACTTGATATGTAGCCCAGGCTGACCTCAAATTCATGATCTTCCTGAGTCAGCCTATCAAGTACTAGGACTGTAGACATACACCATCATACCTGTCAGCAGCAGCAGAGAGATGCACTGCCACCAGTAGCTTGAGAAGTATCCCCCTCTTCCATCCTGGTGAAGCCAGATCCCAGATCTACAGAAGAGAATGTCAGGAAAGTTAGCAATAGAAGGCGCCTCTGGCTACAAAACACCAGAAGTCCTCTGAGACTGCTGCTGACCTTATTGATCAACCACACCCAGAACTCAGGGAGGACTGTTTATTGAGACAGACTGTTTCCCAAGATAGCCTGTCTTGCTTGGGCAAACAGATCCAGGAAAGAGGGGACCATAAATTTCTCAAGAATGTCCTGACCCACAGGTAGCCCACCATAGTTGTAGCCACTTTCTCATTTCCAACTCTATATTATCTTCAACCATTCCACTCCCTCCTTGCAGTAGCCTCCATCCTGAGGGAAGATTGCTGTCCTCCCTGTGCTAAATAAAAACAGTTTCCTTTGTTGAGGTCAGGCTTGGTCTTCTTTCTTTCTCTCCTATTGCTCCTGCATTCTGTGCTCTAAAACCTAACAGTCGCTCTTCCCTTTTGTGACCATCGCTGAAGCAGCACCCGCCAAAATGAAGTTCAATCACTTTGTGACTTCAGACCAAAGCAAGAACCGGAAAAGACATTTCAATGTACCTTCTCACATTAGGAGGAAGATTATGTCCTCCCCTCTTTCCAAAGAGCTGAGACAGAAGTACAGTGTTCAGTCTATGCCCATTCGAAAGGATGATGAAGTTCAGGTTATACGAGGGCACTACAAAGGTCAGAAGATTGGCAAAGTGGTCCAGGTTTACAGGAAGAACTATGTCATCTGCATTGAGCAGGTGCAGCGGGGAAAGGCTAATGGCACAACTGTCCATGTGGACATTCACCCCAGCAAGGTGGTTATCACCAGGCTAAAGCTGGACAAAGACTGCAAAAAGATCCTGGAACGGAAAGCCAAATCTCATCAAGTAGGAAAGGAAAAGGGCAAATACAAGGAAGAAACCAGCAAGAAGATGCAGGAGTAGGGTCTTACATATGACTGTCATTAAAAACTGCCCAAATCGGGGCTAGAGAGATGGCTCAAGGGTTAAGAACACTGGCTGCTCTTGCAGAAGCCCTGGGTTTGAATCCCAGCACCCACATGGCGGCTAACAACTGTCCATAACTCCAGTTCCAGGGGATCTGACTTACCTACATGCAGGCAATACACACACATAAAATAAAAATAATAAAAAATTTAAAAAGTTAAAAAAAAAAAAACTGCCTAAGTGGAGCTGGCGTGGTGGCGCACACCTTTAATCCCAGCACTTGGGAGGCAGAGGCAGGCAGATCTTTGTGAGTTCGAGGCCAGCCTGGTCTACATAGTGAGTTCCAGGACAGCTGGGGCTACAGAGAGACCCTGTCTCAAAAAGACTCCCCACCCCCAAAAAACTGCCTAAATGATTTTAAAAAACCACAAAAACCCTAGCAGTCAGAGTAAAGTCAAGTCAGCCAGTTTATTAAGTAGTGATAAGGGATAGTACACACTTTAAATTTAAGTATGGCATTTAGAGAGAGACACATAGGAAAGGGACAATACACACCAAGACTTGGGTACAGGTTTCTTGAGAATAGTACTTATGTGTGCTTATAACAGTGGGTATAATCCTGTGGCTTTCTAAATTACATTGCTCAAGATATGTAATTTCCACAAGGTTCAAAGATTAAGTTTAAAAATTAAGTAAAAGTTGGGCTGGAGAGTTGGCTCAGCGGTTAAGAACACTTGTTCTTGCAGAAGACTCGGGTTCAAATCCCAGCACCTACATGACAGCTAACAATTGTCCATAACCCCAGTTCCAGGGGATCCGACAGCTTCTTCTGTCCTCTGAGGGCATTGCATGACATGGGTGCACTTACCTACATACAGGCAATACACGCATACACATAAAATAAAAATAATAAATAAAATATATTTTTTAATTAAATAAATGTTCCAGTACTTGGGAAGCAGAGGCAAATGGATCTCTGGTCTACATAGTGAATTCCTGGCAAGCTGGGGCTATAGGGAGACCCTGTCTCAAAACGACACATACACACCACAAAAATATATGAGCATATGAGGTGGTTTACTTATTTTTCCTAAGGAATTTCCTTTTGTAAATGAAATTGTCATGTGGTTTTATGAGGTGCGCTGTTTAGACCTAGGGATGAGGGAGGAGAGCCAATACAGTTAAACTCATGACCACAAGCATTTTAAGTAAACATAGTTTGTTCTCTTCCAGGGGATCCTTCAGCCTCTCCTGTCCTCCGAACGCATTGCACGGCACAGGTGCACTTACCTACAAGCAGGCAGTACACACATACACATAAAATAAAAATAATAAAATATTTTTTAATTAAAAAAAATTATGAGTGTGTTTTCCTGCATGTCTGTCTGTCTGTCTGTCTCTCATATATATATCACATTCATGCATTGTCTATGGAGGCTGAAAGAGGGAGTCGAATCCTCCTTTACATCATTGTGACCAAATATCTGAAAGAAACTACTTAAAGGGAGTAATTATTTATTTCAGTTCACAGTTTCAGTGATTTCAGTATGTAGTCTGGCTCTGTTGATTCTGGGGCCCTGGTCAGGCAGAGCTTGGTGGTGGAAACGTGGAGGGGGCAGTTCATCTTTGTGTGTGTTGTGTTTGTGTATACGCTCCTCTGTGTATGTGTGTGTGTGTGTGTGTGTGTGTGTGTGTGTGTGTATTTATTTATTTGTTTCTTTGGTTGGTTGGTTTTTTTGAGACAGGGTTACTATATAACACTGGCTGGCCTGAAACTCACTATGCAGACAGACCAGGCTAGCCTTGAACTCACAGAGATTCACCTACCTCTGCCTCCTAAGTGTTAGGATTAAAGGTGTGTGCTACCATGCCCCAACTGATTTTATTTTTTGAGATAAGGTCTTGAATTGAACCTGGAGCTAACTGATTCAGCTAGGCTGGTTGGCCAGTGCCAGGGATCCTCCTGTCTCTGCCTCTCTAGTATTGGGGTTGCAGGTGTGCAATACTATGCCTGGTATTTTATGCGAGTGCTGGATGTGAGTGCTGGGGATCTGACCTCAGGCCCTCATGCTATCAAGCAACTACTTTAACTGAGGTGTATCTCCCTAGCCCAAAGCTGTTCACCTTATGATAGACAGGAAGCAGGGATGGGGACAAATAAAACCTTCAAAGACACACCCTTGGTGACTACTTCTTCCTGCTAGGTACACCTCCAAATGTTCTTACAATTTCTGAAAACAGCCACCAGCTGGGGACCAACATTCAACACATGAGCCCCTGGGGACTTTTCATATTTAAGCCATAGCAATCACACAAAGGCATTGGATTGTGTCAAACGCCGCTTCATTACTTGAGATCCTTACGTACTCCCCTCTTTTCTATTAAGCTGTTATGCTAAGAACAGGTCTGCAAGTGACCTTGAACTAGCCCAGTTCTCTCCCCTTTCTCACTTGTAGTTCTCAAAAATAACTGTAGCATGTGCTGAGAATGCAACATCCTGATAAGAGAGACCTGAGCAGAAATGGCCCAGCTGGGTTCCAGTCCTCCCTAGAAACAGACGTCCTTCAGTGTTTAGCCAAGTGTGTCATGCAGTCACTGGGATATGAAACCCTAAGGCAGAATTCTTTCTGGGCTCTCTCAGCAGCAGTAAAAGTGGGGCAAGTGCAAATAAGACTCCACCCACCTCAGCAGTTGTGAGCCACCCTTGGGGACTTGCTTGACCTCCACCCTTAACTTCTGTTGTTCTCTGCTACCCTATAAATAATAAACCTGCTTTGTGTGATTTCTTAGGGCCGGTGTTTGGCCTCACTGGACTCAGGCAAGTAGTAACTCTACAGCCCGAGATACACAGGGCTGAGATGGTGACTAGCACAGGTGGACCTGCCTGTACAACCACCTTTGCATTCATGGGATGATAAATCCCATGGGATCATGAAGTACAATCCTTTTACTATGCTGCTGGACTTGTTTGCTCAGGTTCCCTAGAGAGTTCCCACTTGTACCCAAAAGAAATGTTAGTGTTTCTTTCCTGGCTTTAGTTTCCAAGTCACGTTGGCCTCAGATAAATTTAGAAGTGTTTCCTCACCCCAAATGGAAGAATTTAAGAAAGATTGGCACCGTTTCTTCTGTAAATGTTTGGTAAAATTCATTTGCTGTGGTGTGGATGTGGTCTGTCCTTCCCTGTTTCGTGTGCTGAGAGCTTGGTCCTCAGTGCAGATATGTTGGCAAGTGACACTTTAAGAGGTACAGCTTGCTGGGTGTGGTGGCACGTGTCTGTAATCCCAGCACTTGGAAAGTGGAAGCAGGAAGGTCATCTTATATATAATGAATTTGAGGCCAGCCAAGACTACATGAGACCTTGTCTCAAAACAGGTAGGGCTTAGTGGGAGGTCCATAAATCAGTTAAAACACTGTTTTTGCAAAGGGATTTGGGGATCCCATGCTCTCATTTTGGCCTCCTGCCTTAAGATGTTGTCTTTCTCTTACATGCACTCCCGTCTTGAGACCATCCATCCTGAGGTCCTCAGTGGAGCTGAACAGGAAGAAGAGCCATGGATTCATGACTCTCTAGAACTGTGAGCTAAACAAATTTTCTCTTTATAAAGTTACCCACCCTCAGCTATTACATTATAGCAATAAAACATGAATTACTAGCCAGGTGTGGTGGCACATACCTCTAAACCCAGAACTTGGAAAGTAGGATTTGTTTATACCATTATGGAGCTGACAGACAAGAGTAGTGGCAATTGGTGGTTTGAAATCTGTGAAGTTATGTACTTACTTAAAGAATGTCAAAAGCACTGCTTTTATTAAGTTTTGTTTTATTAAATAAGCAGCATATTCATATAGTTCAGGAATCAAGTATGTTTAAAGGTCTTATTTGAGAAGTCTGCCAACATTGCAGCTCATCTCATTATACTCTGGGCTGCCAGATTCCTTCCCTGATGCAGTTAATTCATTACTTGTTAGACCACAGGGCAACAGGGGTAGAGGGAATTGAAGGATTGGGTAGAAAAGACTATTTACTAATTACTGTTTGTTTTTGTTTTTTTGTTTTGGTCTTTTTGAGACAGGGACTCCCCTGTAGTCCCAGCTGACCTGGAACTCACTATGTAGACCAGGCTGGCCTTGAACTCACAGAGATCTACCTGCCTCTGCCTCCCAAGTGCTGGAATTAAAGGCATGTATCACCATGCCTGGCAACTTCTATGTTTAATTTAGTTAAAAAAAATTTAATCTTTTTGAGACAGGGTCTCCCTGCAGCACCAATTGGCCTTGAACTCACGTATGTAGACCAGGCTGACCTTGAACTCACAGAGATCAGCCTGCCTCTTCCTCCTGAGTACTGGGATCAAAGGTGTGTGCCCCCATGACCAGCTTTATTTTTGTGTTTTGAGACAGGGTCTCATTATAGCCCAAGTTGACCTGGAACTTGCTCTATAGACCAGGTTGGCTTCAAATCCACAGAGCTCCTCTTGCCTCTGCCTCCCAAATGCTGGCATTAAAGGCATGTGCCATTATGCCTGGCAACTTCTATATTTTAACCAGCACAACATTATTGACTGAATATTTGTGCTACTGTAAATAACAACTTACACTAGTCTTTCCAGTATTTTTTGTGCTTGTAAGTACAAGTACTGCAGTCTACTATGTACTCTCTTCTTTGTCTTTCTTTTAAAGTTTAACAATGTTCTGGGAAATCTTTATATCCATTGGCAGAGAGCCTCCTTGATGTTTTCTAGCTGCCTTAACTGTATTGTGTGTTTGGGTGGAGGTAGCCCATCTGTGTTCCATGTGTTCTTAGCTGAGGCAGCTCTTCTGGGACTGGAAAATCCAAAGTGGCTTCATTCCAATAAGGAGTCCACTTGGGTGGGCTGGACATCATGCCAGCTGTGTTCCAAGAAGATGAGAATGGAAACTGCAAAGACTCTTATGGTCTGGGCCCCAGAAGCTGGGCTCACAGCTTCTCACCCAGTGCATTGAGTTGACCAGAATGATCACATTCATATGACTATTCCCAGGGA